TTTTAAGACAGCAGCGATGCCCTGCGGTCAGAGAGCAAGGATGGATTTGTTATTTTTCCCAAACAGGTAAAATAACAACTCCACTTAAACTCCCTTTAAATGGTCTGAATTAATTCCTTCATCTTTTTCAGGGTCTTAAGGGAGAGGGGTTGTACCCTGGACATGTCACCCTCACACCAAAGATCAAGTTAAAGGGCTGTTCTTGTCATTTTGAAGTGATGTTCCATCACTTACCGATAATGGGGACCTTCACTCATGACGTCACACATATCATTTGCATTCATTATTTGCTGAAATGCTCAAATGATCGGACAATCAGAGTATACTGAGTCAAGCCTTGTTTATACTTTAAGTCACACGTCTTGTTCCCCCTACTGAGTGGCAAAAAAATAGCACAACTTCCGCATCGTGCATTCCTCCCAGTCAGAAGTATGAGACGCGGACCTCGCAGCTCGGAGCATGTGATTGGTTACAACTTTGTGGGTGTGTTTTACTTTTATCATGAGGAACACCACAGTGCTGAGGAGCAGGACTCAGATCAATGCTGCCTTATGCAGGTTTTTTTTTAAATGCTTCTCTTTTTTTGTTTGAAGTAAGTTGTTACAAGAACAAGAAACACAGCTGATTTTCAGATTTCCACTTCTTTTTTTCAATCACCACAAACTTCATCCAACATGACATTGATCACTGAGTGAAAAAAAAATAAAAGAACCCAATATCCAGCCATTTTTATTGCTGTTTGTGTACAACCCCTGGCAAAAAGTATGGAATCASCAGTCTTGGATGAGCACTCATTCAGACATGTCATTCTGTAAAACAAACTCAGATCAAAAACATGATACAATAATAAGGTCATTCCAAAGTGCAACTTGTTGGCTTTCAGGAACACTCAAAGAAATGAAGRGAAAACATTGTGGAAGTCAGTGAATGTTACTTTTATTGACCAAGCACAGGGGGAAAAATATGGAMTCACTCAATTCTGAGGAAAAAGTATGGAATCACTCAAATTGGAGGTAGAAAATAAGGAGGTTGTACTTATAACTGTGGGATGGCAGAGGGGGGATCTATGATAATTTAAGGCCCGCCGCGTCTTCAGCTCATTTATACTCGCTCAGGAAAAAGACGTGCAAAATTACGGAGTCTCCAACCTGYTGTCTTATTGAAGTATAATCCAAGCTTYARTGTTAATATCTTAACAGAAAAATGTGTCCCTAAAGCGAATTTCGACACATTCGACATCAGCAAACAGGAACGTTCAGYTGAAAGGCTGTCTGGGGGACCAAGGTCTTTGACAGACTTGGAAAGCAAGCGTAATTATTMACATGTTTTATGGTTTTCGGGTGTTTTATAGCTTACCTTGCTGCATCTATTGTCTGTGTGTGTATTTTTTCACTCGAACCACCGCTTCTGTATCATTTAAAGAAGCATCATGGTGATGTTTGGAATTTCTGTAAGTAWAATATTATCACTGTATGTACCAACTGCAATAGAGTGCTGTATATGAGCGAGGCTAGCAAAGATGCTATGAGTAAAGCTAGCAGTAGGTTTCAGTAAAAACAATATAGTTTGCTGTACCTGTTTATAAACAGAAAGTACAGGGATGGGATCTGGGTGGTCCATGTTGTATTTTACCTCCGATAAAATGCTTGGAGCAGACGTTAAGTCCTTTGTTGCACCTTTTTCCTGTTAAATTTAGCTCATACCATCGCTCAAATCCAGCTGTTAGCCTAGCATCCTAGCTTGGGAAAAGTAACAAAATATACTCCTTCCATGTGGRSACGATGGCTGTATCCYGAGTCACTAGCCGTGTTTCCATCAACATTTTTAATGTGCATTTTGAAGTATCGCATTAGAAAACCTGGATGGAAACGGCAAAATTCACAAAAACTTCTTCAATTTTGCGGAACAGTTTATCTGCTGAGGTAGTTTTGGGCTTTTCTGAAAAAGATTTAATGCACAAAAAKAAAGATGGAAACACATTTGYTGAATAAGTTCTGACATAGCGAACATTTACCTGAYWTGATTGATCAGCTGTTCCTGCTGTCCAATAATTGTAGMGGCTGCAGCTGGACCCTCCTCCCACTGTCGGCACCTTCCCAGATATTCCCATAATGTGAAGAGAATTTCATTTCATGTTCTACGTCTCCAGGCATCGTAACATCACCAATACTAGCTGATATGACAGAATAATTACAACTTTCCTGATAGTAGCAACACGTTCCTGATAACTTCTCTTCATTGTCCTGAGATGTGTCTCCTTGTGAGTTTGTAACCTCTACTTACTGTTTACTACAGTCATGAGTAATGTCAACGTTTGACGTAATTACACTCTATGTAGCCTGGTTGATTTGCTCCAAGCCAGTAGATCAAAACACGTCTGATTCGCTTTTTGGCTTGTTTTCCCTTTTCTTGACATTTCACTCAAAATACATTGTAGCACAATGTTTTGTGGGAGTTTGATGCAGTTTTACTGAATTTATTTAAAGGGGCAATATCATGTAAAATCAACTTTTTGCATTTTATATCATGTTATAATGTTATCCTCTCATCAAAAACATGGYCAGAGTCTTGTTTTGACTCATTCATGCATGTTTGAGAAATCCTGCARTGTCYTGAGGCAGCCAGGTAGGGGGATCAAAAAAGACCGGTTGGGACAAGAACCACCTTTTGGGATCAGCTCCTCCTCTGGGCTGTGTCTCCAAGCTGAGCTTCCTTATCACAGAGCACACACCCACCCAGCCCAATGATGAAATGGGTGGGACAGAACCGGAAGGAGRTTCTTAGAAGACAGAGGCCAATTTCAAGGCATTTAGAAACAAATTTGATGTGAAGTCAAGTTTATTTTCTATTCAAACATATAAACAGCATTTTAATAACAACCGAAGGTGACATAGTTACTTTATTATGGCATAGAATTTAAATATATGCCTGGGAAACACATAATGTTGCCTCTTTAAGTTTAAACACAGCTAAACTGGTGCTAGAGTTTGTATGCATACCAGTGTCGAGTGGAGTCACTTGACTACTCTTCTGAAAATATGTTAATGGCTAGCCAAACAAGGACCTGTTCTATACAAATTTTCAAACTAATAGACCAACTTCTCAAAAACAAATAAACCTATACATTTTTGCATGGTTTTGTTTTGTTGGTTGCTGTTTTCTCACCGGAACATCTCTGTKACTGTGCAACTATTTGAGTTCTGAGCATAAACCTACCGTATAWCATGTTAATGGGCCTGCATCTAGGATTTTGTCACTTCAGCGTCTTGGTTTAGTAGATTTGCAGTAAGTGTTTTGATTGGATGGAAAAAAACTCAGCTGTGATTGGCTGGTAATGTATACAACTTGCGAGCACAGAGACAGAGCCTCGAGCGAGCAGAGGGGAAGTTGAGAGGAGGGAGGGAGCCGAGCAYGAGCAAGAAGAGAGTTGAGTAAACAGGGAGGGAGCCATGAGAGCGTGTKTGTGATTTGAACACACGGTTCAAATCATTGTTTGTTCAAATTGATATCTGCTCTCARATCARTGTTACTATGAGCTCAAGTCGATGGCACAAATGTAACGCCATAGTGAGCATCCACTGTTTCTTATGGGGACAAAAGCCCAGTCCACATTGTGGGGTGAATAAAGTTTAGGCTGGGTTCAGTGTCAGATAGGCTGTAGAAAATAGAAGAACAAACGTGTGTCTGTGGGACAGTGAGGACTCAGCAGAGCACTGCAGGGGAGGAAATTAGCTCTGTTTCTTGCATGAGTTGCGGCTGGAGCAGCTCCTGTTGGCATTTTTTTGGGTGTTTGGGTGTTGGCTCCTGCAGATGTAGACTCACTGCCCAGAGTCCAGAGACCAGATGTTATCCTCTCATGCTCAGTTCACAGAGTTCAGTTTCCGCTTCCTCCTCATGGTCTTCAGACTGGTCCCACACAGATGATATGGGGATGTGGAAGGGAATCAAGCCCTTGTTGACATATCCTGCTGGGGAGTTTAGATAACGTTGCAACCGAGGTCAGCAGCTGGGATCCGAAAAAATAAACACGATTGTTTTGGGACAAGCGGTCTTGACATTTTCTTGCTGCTTTCAGTCTTTACTACATCTCTGAAGTGGCGAAAAAATCAAATGTTCCGAATTTCGTGTCCTCCTTGTTTCTCACTGTCTGAAGCTTTACACAGGTATAATCCTTAAATACCAGAGGCACGCTCCTGAGCTGCAATTCTCGTAAAAATCACATTCAGTTTGCGACTTATCTCCCTCAGCATCTAAGTCTGTGYGTKCTCAGAATGGCAGATWMCATCCATGGTTCCTGACASCTTTTCACAAGCCTGGACTGCTGTCAGGATCACTTTCWTTTTCCAATAAATCAGAAATCTGCCTCCGCCGATCAGCAGAAATCCAATTATCATTAATCCAAATACATACAAATCTTCCACGTCTTCAATGGAAAGCAGTGCCAAACAGACCAGATTCCAAGTCCTCCAGGAACCACTGACCCGACCAGCAGTAACCATTCCACTGGGACAACTATGTTCCCCTCGTTCCAATCTTAATGTGGAAAAAATAGTGTCAATTGCATTCAGAGACCAGTTGACCAAATCCATAATTCCTTTTGTTTTCAGATGATAGGTTAGAAACTGATCTAGACTATCTTTTTAAGCTAACATGAGCTTCTTTTTACTTTACAGTAAGGAGAGGAAACTCAGTACTGACGTGCTGCCCAGACATCGGCTCAAACAGAAAAGCTGTTTACTGTAAACTTTTAGCTAGCCTCCATAACAGTATGGGGGGATTAGGGACCTGGTTAACTTACAAAATAATTTTAAATCTGAATGATGTAATTATGTTCTGCAGAAACCCAGGCTGCCATCTTTCAGAGGTCTTGCTTATTTCATCAAAAGATCGTCGACTGAATAATAACAGAATCTTGTGCTAAACCAAGCACAACAAATCATTTGTTACAGTAAGAAAGAAAATAAATCAAACTAGTTTAAAATGTGTCTGTGTGTTTCCAGGGAGTTTGGTCGATGGAAGGTCAACAGCCTGGTGGTGGAGAAGCGAGACGGTTTTGGGGGCAGTGGCGGCTTGGCTCTGCCCCTTGACCCGGACTTCATGCACACTGTCCGCCTGCTGGGGAGAAGGCCGACCCTCCACATGATTACAGAGAGCCTAATCAAGAAATACGGCACCCACCTCCTTCTATCCGCCACTCTGGGAGGTACAGAGAGCACGCTGAGCTTCAAAGCCAGCTTGATTCCCATAGCTTCTAATGTGATTTTTTTTTCTGTTTCTCCAACATATGGGGCACTGATTTTACCGTCTGCTGCCTTCCAAGCAACAGAGCACAAAATATATTTATTTTCTGGATGAGTGTATTTTGGCTCACAAAGACATCAAAATGCCTGCTTGAGCGTACAACAAAGACAGATTTAATTTTAGGTGCAGGAGAGCGTCTCAGGGACGCTCTCCTGCACCTTCAGCACATTATATGCCGCCCCCACCGGCACGACTCTCCTACAGCTTCAGTATGTCGGAAAAAAATCATTCAACACAAGAACAAAACTACAGGCACAAGTGTCATGTTCCCATTTCTGTCTTACAATCTCGTCTGCAGTCTAGATGTGTGGCTTGCATCACCAGRCCTGCTTTAAATTTTCCATGATCAAACTACTCCAGTACATGAGTCATTTATATGATGCCACTACACTTCATCCAGGAACCCCAAAACCCTCATTAACCCATATCCCACTGGCCATCATCATAAAGGTGGTCTTAAAGCAGAATTACTGTATACTGATGCAGGACTCATGTTTGCTTAATTCTGATGAGTGAAGTTGCTGTTCGAGTGTTTCAGACGTCTGGCATTCACTGCAATTCTCCTTGTAAACAGTAGGTGTCCCAATTGGAAAATACCAACATACTGCAAAAATGGCACAAGAAGAAGAGTCGGTTACAGAAAGCATATCCTTTTTTAAATACAGAAACAGGACTAAGAGGTTAATTTAGTTTAAGCAGTTTATGAATCTATCAGTAATAGTAGTTTTTGTTGTAAATGGTATTAGTTACTTTCTTGGTTCAGTTGCACAAGTAACATTTGARATGAGCGTCACGGTCCATGATGACACAAAACCCTTAAATGTGACTGGTGCTGTGATCTCAGTTTTGTAAAGAGACACCATTTATAAACCGAACACAGTTAAAAATCAATAGTTAGGGAGAAACTTTAGCAAAGATCCACAGAGAAAATAAGCTAAGACCCAGAAYACTGGTAGTTGTTGGTTTTTCCCATCTTTTTCTATTTTTAGAACTTTCACACGAGTTGTGATGAACTGATTGAAAAGCCATTAAGGTGCATAAATAATAACTGTTAGGATACATTATATAAAGGCTCTGGCACATACTTAAAGACTTCTGTGTGGTTTTTGTGTTCTTGTGTGTGAAAATATTGGGACCATGCTTTACATATGTGTTCTTGTATGCTCAGTTGACCACAGTCCAATCTGACAAATGAAGATAATTCACTGGATTATAAATAAATTCAAAATACGATTTGAATTGTTTTTTAATATTAGGATATTGACACAGTCTGTTTCTTCAGAGTCCCTAAGTGATGAAGAGTAAAAATGGAACAACAGCTAATTTTAAGACTAGATACCGCATAGCGGTAACATAATGTGCCCCGCACGCACAAATGCACCAGAACTTAGAAGTCTTTATTCCTAATTAAATGTCATCCAATAGGTGCATCCCAAAATTGTAGTGGTTTGGGTGGGGGTGG